AAGAATTTATTTTGTGGACAGTAAAAAATTTTAAGCAGGGAGGGACATGATTTCATTTGTATTTTATAAAAGTCCGGTGGATCACAGAGGTACAGAGACCGAAGATTAGGAGTATATTCTAGAGTAGAAAAGATAAGAACCTTACAAGGCGTGACCATGAGGTCAAGATGTGTTTAGGAGTTGATTACCAGTTGGTGGTATGGGAGGGGCATTATTGATGGCAGGAATATGACAGAACTGGATTTTATTTATAAAAAATAATGTAGGAATTTAATAAGGGTGCCAAGACCATTCACTGGGGGAAAATATAGTCTTTTCAAGAAATATTGCTGAAGAAACTAGATGTCCACATGCAGAAGATAGAAGATGGACCCTAACGTAACACCATATACAAAAAAATAACTCAAAAATGGATCCATAACCTAAATTTAAAACCTAAAACTATAAAACTCTTAAAAGAAAACATAGAGCAAATCTTTACCTCATTGGATTTAGCAGTGATTTCTTGGATATGACTCCAAAATTGTGGAGCCAAAAGAAAAAATATAAATTGGATTTCAGGAAACTTTAAAAAATTTGTACACGAAAGACACTATTAACAGAGTAAAAAGGCAGCCCACAGAATGGGAGAAAATATTTGTAAATCATTTATCTGATAAGGAATTAATGTTTAGAGTATATAAAGAACTCCTAAAACTCAATGACAACCAAAAATTCAATTCAAAAATGAGCAAAAGACATTTCTGCAAAGAAGATATATTAATACAAATGGCCAGTAAGCACATGAAAGATGCCCCTGTGCCAGTGTCTATGGTCTGCGCGTGTGCCTGTGGTCCCAGCTACTCCGGAGACCGAAGCAGGAGGAGCACTTAACCCTAGGAGTTCAAGGCTGCAGTGAGCTATAATTACACCACTGCATTGCAGTCTGGGTGGCAGAGCAAGACCACATCTCTAAAAAAAAGAAAAATGCAACTCCACTGGATACAGAACAAAAAAAAAATAAAAAAAAATAAAAATAAAAAAAAGAAAAGATGCTTCCATTAGGGTGTGAGGTGATATCTTATTATGGTTTTGATCTGCATTTCCCCGGTGGGCTTTTTAGTTTGATGTAGCCCCCCTTGTTTACTTTTACTTTTGTTGCCTGTGCTTTGAGTGTGCTCTTTTCAACATTTTGTCAAAGAGGTACCTTTATAAATTTGAAGGAACTTTGTAATTCACTGTTGTAATGACTTTTCCCTTAAAAAGAGAAAATCCAACATTCTATAAATAATATTTCAGTGCTCTATCATGTAGGGCTGCTGGAAACACAGGAGAATTTACTTTTCTTTTAGTTCATTTCACACTAATGGCAATAATTTTGTATAAGTTAATATGTGCAAAGTAACACTAAAAAGAACATGAGGAGAAAGCTTCTTGTTTTCAGTGCTTGACTATAATTGTTTTTTAAGAGGTACTAAAAGTTTGAGGAAAGTCCAGACTTCTTATTTTTAGCATCATTTCTGGTGAGTTTTCCTCTCTTATGTTTAAATAGTGATGGTAGAACCATCTGGAAATGATAGAAATCGCTGTTTGTTTTGGGGGGTGGGGAGAAGGCAGGAGAGTTCCACCCTATGCATTCATTGCTTCATTTTCTCTAATTTAATATCTTGCTGTCTATAAATTGTACAAAGGTTGTGTTCTGAAACCTTCATATATTTGAAATATGAAGTTCTTGAGCCTTGCTTTGAGTATAGCTATTTCTTCCAACTACCCCTTCTGGCAAATGCTTAAACATTTAATGTAGCATTAAAGGAAAGATTTTTTTTTCTCTAATATCTTTACGTTTCAAATCCTCCTGGCCTAAGCATATCCATGAAAGCAAATACTTCTAGTCACAAATCAATATTTCCTGACAGAGAATGGAGGATTCTTACATTTTCTTGAAAACCAGGAAATCTTTGCACTAAAATATTTTTCAGATCTTTTTCTAACCTCTTCTCTGAGAGGGGCTTGGCAGGTTGGGAAGTCACATGGCATAGTGAAAAAAGTCCTGAAGCAGGGAATGGAAGGGCCTGACTAGCTGCATGGTTTTGACAAGTTCTTTCTGGGCCTCCTTCTCAGTTTTAAAAGTATGAGTATTGTCCTGGTTGATCTCAAAAGCATCCCACTGAGTCACACTGTGATTCTAGGTTAAGATTCTTTATAGTGCCTGTCTGTTTGAAAAATGTAGCATCTGACTAATTAGCCATCCTGTTCAGTACAGACTCTTTGTATTTGGGAGGACAATGGGTTTATTGAATAGGAATTGTTGAGGGTATTTTCTTTGGGACTGTCATTCACAAGGTAATGAAAGTGTCAGGGTTACTTTATCCACAAATGTCTAAATGATTTTCATAATCTGCCATCCCTTATGAAAAACTGACAACATACTTAGGAAAGGGCACCTTTGAACAACCCTGAAGTCACATGGCAGGAGAATGCCAGAAACTACTTCTTTGACCTTTCTTGCTGAGCAGCACCATGAATCTTTCATCTCCTAAGAGTGACCAACATTGGTCACCACCACGCTGCAGGCTGAGCTTGTTTAGAAGAATTGGAAGAATTGTTATTTACCTTATTGTCTATGAGGTGTAGGGTGACTTTCATAAGAATGGATAGGAAATCTTGGTAGTTGAATGCATGTATCTGCTCTGCTGACAAGAGTCTCAGTTGATCCATCCTTTTACAGTAGGGAGTTAATTTTCATTGTTTTAAGAGGAAGAAATTTAAAGGAGTGAGGCCAAAGATATATTCTTTTCTGTCTGTTGAATTCTTTCTAAGATCCTATTTAGGCAATTGATTATAAAAACTACGATGCACATCTCACCCTGCAAATACATGGGATTGTGGTTTGGGTTTACAGATATCATCAGTAATGTCTGTAAGAGGATGGTTGTTCTTTCTTCTGAATCACTGACAGCTACTTTGAAAACTATTGTTGGGAACATTTATATGCAGTTTATTCTTCTGCTCCAACATTAAGTATGCATCCAGCCTGTAGCCCCCAGTAAAGCCAGCTAGCGCTGTAAGATGGGTGTCATGGAGTACTCAGTACTGGAGAGGACACAGAAAATCGTCTAGTACAGGCCTCTATCCCCACCCCTTTATTTCATAGCTGTTCTTAGTTGTGGCCCACGTAGAGGAAGTGACTTATGATTACACAGCTTACTCGTGACATAGCTAAGTCTAGCCTATCTCTAGAGTTGACTTTGAAAGTAGATTAAAGAACATGGCTAGGAGATCTACATATCAAGGTCTGGTGATTCACCCTTCCTTTTGTACTCTGATAGTGCCAAGTCCCATCCTAGGCTTTTGGTCATCTTTTCAGCCACCTCCGTTTCAGAGTCAGCAAGAATGCGGAATTATAGACAGGTGGGGATGAGGGTCGGGGGTGAAAGAGACAGTGCTGGGCCCACCAGTATTGTTGAGGTGGTCAGTAGCCCTGAGAACGTGACTGTGAGTGCCTCTGGCCAGGGGTGGGACTGCCCTTACAGGAGTCCCTGCGGCTTAGGAGGGAACTGGTACTGTTTGTGTGCTTCCAAAAAGGGTAAGAATAGAGAGGCCCGAGTCCCTGGAAGCTCTGTCTTGTGACCTAGCACCAAAGGGGGCCATGTGTTGGCTTACTGGGTGGGGATCACAGGATGCTTTCAGGTACAATTTTATGGAAGCATATTCTTTTATACTAGGGTTCACACTCAAGAATGTTTCCCACTGTCTGTTGGGCTACTCTGATGGATGGCCCTGATTCTGATCTGAGAACCTGTTGCAGTAATAGCCTTCTCTAACTCATTTCTGGCCCCCTTGAAAACTGACTGAAAAGGCTGAAAACCCACCTATAAGAGTGGTTTAAAAAGTTTTGAACGTAGTGGAAAAACCCTGGAAAGTATTTGGAATAAGGCATAATTATAAATATGCCACAGAGAAAACAGACTGTTTTGGGTCGTGCCTATCCCCTTATTTAAAAAAAAAAATCTCAGCAGGTTGCCAGACACTCATTAGTAGCCAAAGAAATTGTGGTTTTGAGCTGTTCACCATTTCTAGAAACTTCATAAAGTTAATTTGGAAGGAACTGGGTGGAGACCAAGAAAGGAAGCATGCACTTTTATGGTGCTTCTAGCAAAGATAAAGTATTTGCCTGTGGCACAGAGCAATCCAGCAGGGCCTCAGAGCCCAGCTCCACTCCAGCTCTGTGAGGCGGCCACTGACGTTAGGTGGCTGGCAGGGGACGTGGAAGACACAGGGACAAGAGGGCATGATCAACTGCAGGATGTGAGCTCCTGTCTCATCCTTGTCCTTTTTCCTCTTGCATTCAAGCTGACAAATAGACCAGAGCTCCTAGTGTACGTGCAACCACTGCTAAGTACCAGCCTCTGCATTCTAACTGGTTTTTCTTGGAATTCCATCTTCATATGCACAAATTTCGGAACTTAAATCTTCCTTCAGTGGCCTTCACTCTTCATTAGCAGTTCATTTTGTCATTTGGCTCTTTTTTACTTTTACTTCAGAAAACATTCTTTGCATTCATTTATTTAAAAACTTATCCTGTTATTGGTTTCTGGGATCAAAAACAAAAACAAAAACACCACCCTGAAAAGAGTATGGAGCCCCCTTCGCATTTATGCCAGTCATCCAAAATGGATTTATATTTGAGTTGGATGTTACTCTATAACATTTTCCCACAGTATAACTACCCACTAATGAACTTTTATAAAGATTGACATATACTACCTCACAACAGGTGAGGGGTGACCTCGAAGAACTTTAGGGATATAGAAAATCCATCCTGAGAACAAATTGGATGCACAGGCCCTAGTCATAAACCTGCTACTAACAGGTGTGTGACCTGTCATACCTAGTCACACATCCCTGTCCACTTCCTGGATGATCTCTAAAGACGTCAATAGTTCTGACCCCTAGGGATCATCAGTACATAAGCACTTGTGGGTATTGGAAAATTATACCATGTTCCCTTTTCCTCACAGAGTGAAGGCTGCACAGACTGAGTTAGGACAGCAGATCCTGGCCGACTTTGAAGAAGCATTTCCTTCCCAGGGCACCAAGGTACTGTTCTTCATTTTCCTTCCAGTCTTTAGATATTATCACCATTCTTTCCCAATTCCTACTCAACTACAGTTGCCATTTGTTTATCATTCCAAAAGTGTTTGCTGGGAGCTGCAAATTCATTTGCTATTGAATACAAGTTTGGGATAATGAGACCATCCTTGATTTTAAATCTCCCCAAGCAACATCAGTTCCTCATTTGTGTTCTTCCGGCATCAAAAATGAGAATTCGTTTTGGTTTAAGTTAGTACATATATGTCAAACCTTATATCTTATCTACTCTATAGATTCCTTTTTTCTTATGGCTGTGTTTAAAAAAAAAAAAATCTTGAAACCACAATGTTTTTTAGAGTTGTTATGTAACTTATTGGTTTCGGTTTGGTGAAAAGACAACTGGGAGGAGCATCCATGGGCTTATGTAACTCTCTGAGTGACACAGTTAGGGAGCCTCACTTTTAATGACCATAATCCTGTTCTTTGGAATTAATGCCCGTTAGCTCTCACTGGTAACGGAGCTATTTGTGTTGTGTCTGCAAAGCCCACAGTATTTCACTTTTGAGCTATTGGTTACACTTCTCATGTAACAAGCTTTCCCTCACTTGGCTGTCATTGTGGTTTGGTAACTGCTTTTAGCTCTAGCCTTCAAACTGTAGCAGATGTCATCTTAATGCTTTGCATGTGTTGGGGCGGGAAGAGCCCATAGAAGCCTTTTTCCTCTATTATTTGAGCTATTTCAAGAGAAAGAATCATTCAAGGCAGAAATGTACTGAAGCACGCAGGGTAAGGAGCCTTCCGTGCTGAACTTGGTGGGTGGAGAGAGGAGACATACATTCATTTACTGAGCCACGGAACGTTTCCTGGATCTGTTCTATAATTCAATAACTGGAAATATCTTCAGCATTTTTTGTGCGTGCGCTCCATAAAAGAAACGTAGGAAGTAGGTGGGTGTGGTTGGCCCAGCTTTTGTAGATTACTTTCTATAGGAAACCTGCTCCTGATTTTAATGCCTACATATTTTATGGCTGTCTGTTAGTAATCAGATATTTATTTATAAAGCACTTCTCTTGGAGAACCTCATATTCCTGAGTCATCTGATATAACTGCAGGGAGGGAGTAGATGTTGGAAAACCATTATTCCTGTTTACTACATGAGGAAAATGAAGGTCAAAGAAATAAAAAGGATTGTGAGGCTATTCACTAATTGTGAGCACTGGTCTCTTCTCAGGCCCCAGACAGCTTTGCTAGACTCTGCTGCCCTTTCAAGAAAGATGGATAAAGCCTATCTTTATTATTTAGAAGAAACTAACCATGACCTACTTTGTATCTTTTTTTCTCAGAACCCACCAGGCAGATGAAGTTTAAATGGCTTTCTTTAATGCATGCCTCCCATGTCTCTGGCTCGGTGACTTCGTGTTTTTTTTCTTTCTTTCTTTTTCTTTTTTGAGTTTTCTTTTGTCCTTTTTAACTATGGACTTTTCTTAAAGGCCTTGTGTTACTATTCCTATTTCACAAATGGAAATCAAAATTTAAAAAAAGAAATTATCCAAGGTAACCTAGTAAATTGTCTGTAAATGAAAAAATCTGAACCCATGAACCCATAGGTTTTAGCCTCTGTGACTTCTCCATCAGATCAAACCCTTTCATCCAGAGGCAAGAGTTGAGTAGTTAGTGTATTCAGTGGATGACATAACAGCCACTTAGCATGGAACAAGTCAGCATTTTAACAATTTAGGTCTCAGGCAGCTTATGTAATGATTTGAAGCACTTGAACCTCAGTTGAGATGGATAGAATTGGAAAGAATTGATTAAAAAAAATTAAAATAAAGATTTGGAAGAACCGTATTCATCCTCTAGTTAAAAATTATTATTTTTCAGATGAGGTTGGGTAACTGTGCCAAAGCTAAGTGGCTTTCTAGCCAAGCCAAGAGTAGATTCCAAGTGTTCTTTTTACTATAGTCCACTCAGCCAATCACATTCATTCAGTGATTTACTATAAAGAAAATTTCAGCAAGATTCACTTGCCTTTGGTAATATAAAGGCCATCCCATCATGATGTATCAGTATAGCCCCTGATAATCTTCCACTGGTCTTTTCAGGCTTGGACTGATACACAATATTTTACCTTTGGCTATCTGTCTGGGTGGTTGACTATCAGTGAAACAAGTCTGGTGTTCTGGAACCTGGTTTTAGGTTTTAAAGGCTACCACACTGTTTGACACAAATATAGCACTTTGAGAACAGGAATCCCAGAGGTTGAAATCAGGAGAAAATGGCACAGGTAGAGAGAGACTGTTGTCATTCTGGCTTGGAGGCCTCTTCGACAAAGTCTTCCGACATCACAGGCTGCTGTCATTCTGGCTGTTTAGGTCTCTTTCAGTTTTGGTATTCAGAAAATAAAATTTCCTATCATCATTGCTGGCCCTGTTTTCTAAAACGTCTCATTGCTGATTCACAGGGTAGTTTTTATATTGGCTACTGTGAGATGAGCTTAATGATTCCTTCATGGAGAAACAAGTAACTGACGTATCCATCCACAGTAGGAAGAATGAGTATCAAGGGAGTAGGAGTAATACTAACAATAAGAGAGAAACAAGAAGTAGCAGCTGCCAGAGGCCATGCAATTTAAAGGTTGTTTCTGGCTTTTGAACTGGTGCATGTTGTTTGTTTTACTAGAGGCCAGGAGGACCCAGCAATGTCCTACGAGATGCCTGTCTGGTTGCTAATATTTTGGACCCCAGAATCAAACAGGAAATCATCAAAAAGTTTATTAAACAGCATCTGTCAGAGTATCTAGTACTTTTTCAAGAAAACCAAGATGTAAGTATTGACCAAATGAGATCCAATGTAACATTTGATTTTTATTGAAAAATGAATCCCGTGAAGCCTACTGATTTATACTTTATTTAGAGTTACCGACTTACATACAACGTTGATTGTTGAACAGTGACTCCTAGGGACTGACTTTACAGTTGAGTGGTTCTTAACCATTTTGAGGTCACTGATCCTTTGTAGAAATTAATGAAAGCTACAGATCTTCTCCCCAGAAAAATGCTCCTATGTATAAAACTTTGCATAGTTTCTGGAAATTTATAGACCCCTGGAGCCCAATCGTGGACCCCAGGTTAAAACTTCTGGATCAAGTAAAAACGGTAGCTTAGATTCTTTAAAACCTTAAGAAATACAGAGATTGGTTGTCTCTGTCTTGGTTCAGTGTTTTTACTTGCTTCCTTAAACTGTTAATACTGCTTCTAAGCACTGGAGTGATTTTTGTTCCCTGCCTTCATGAGGTTGCCTGGCTGGACAAAATTGACAGACGCTATGCCTGGATAAAACGCCAGCTCGTGGACTATGAGGAGAAATATGGCCGTATGTTTCCACGTGAGTGGTACATGACGGAGAGGATTGCAGTGGAATTTTGCCACGTGACAAGGTAGAGTCCAGCTCCCTACTGGTTCTGGTGTTAATTGAAATTTCAAAATCAATTCCTCCCCATCCACTACCCCCTCCAGTCTCTAGTGGTTCCGGTTGTCCTGTGGATTGAGTATCACTTCCAGATTCCACCAAATGATTGATACCACTTACCACTACCATCCTGCTATAGCCCCACCCTCTGATCCCCCTTTTGCTCCAGAACCTTCCTTTTTTGTTACCTCTTGCCTCAAACAGCCTGCCTTCTCTACTTCACCAGCTCAAGACTCATCTGCCAGACTTACCTACAGTAATTCATCACCCCCACATTTCCCCCCACATCTGTATCACATATATCAGTGGTCTGTGTATATATCCATCATCACTTTGATTTTCTGACTTACTAGATAGATAGTTCCATAGAGACAGGGGCAGTATCTACTTTAATAACATAGCAGACACTGAGGAAATATTTGCCGAATGAATTTCCCACCCTTAATACAGTGTTTATAGTCTCTGGATAGCTATTAAATAATAATATTGGCATCTGAGTGTTTTAAGCATTTTAAAGACCTTCTCTCATTCATCTTCTCTACGGTACCCATGAGTGTAGCCCAGGGCCAGAGAGTCCCTCATATTGAAAAATTAAAGCCCAAGAAGGTTAGATCAGTGTATCTACAATAAAGCTAGAGCCAAACTTTTATATTCTTTATTTGCAACTATACTACAACAGCGTTGGTAACTGGTTCTTATTAGTTATATATTCCCTTTTAATTAACACAATTGACACCTAACTCCAGGTTAATAACAGGGGGGGGGGAAAGGCCCATATGTAAGCATAACTCATCCATCTTAGCACAGAAAGTACAAATTCCATGCTTTTTTCCCACATTCTGTGGGAAAAAAATTGAATTAAGGGATATGGACTTTTTTTAATGGACTTAATTTTTTTAGAGCAGTTTTAAGTTCACAGCAAAATTGAGCAGAAGGTATCCCTTCCCCACACATGTATAGTTTGCCCCATTATCAGCACCTTCCACCAGAGTGATAATCAGTAAACCTACATTGACACATCATTATCACCCAAAGTCCATAGTTTACTTTAGGATTCATTCTTGGTGTTGTATACTCTGTGTGGCTATTTTATTGTTGTTTAACTTTTTTTTTTTTTTTTTAGAAATGAGCGTCTTGCTATGTTGCACAGGCTGAACTCAAACTCCTGGCCTCAAGCAACTCTCCTACCTCTGCCTCCCAAGTAGCTGAGACTGCAGGCATGTGACACTGTGCCTGCCTCCATTCTGTGTGGCTATTGTTTTAAGAAATACATATGCTACCACAGATTTACATAACTTTTTAGTATTGATTTAAAGTTAGTTGTTGTCATCTTCTAAATCCTGATTATCAAAGAAAGAGTGAATTCCTTTAGAAACTATTAACTAATTCCCTTTGGCCTACAGTTCAGCAGACTTGCAAACTAATTCTGTGAAAAAAAATGAAGCCTACAGGAGACTGGAAGTGTACTAAAGCCAACAAGTCTCTGTGAGCGTCAGTACCTGCCATTGTTGTCTGCTAATGGCAGTGTTGCTGCCAAGCTTTTATTGTTAGAATTTTGGCTAAAATCCTACAGATATATCATTCTCAAACTCAGAAGCTCTTTGTTTGATTTTGTCATTTATTTGTGTGGGAAGATGATGATAGCTTAGTCCTTACTAGGAACTCACATGTCACTGTTACCTAAAAACTTACATTCTGAATCACAACACTTGAGTGAGTTGCATGTAAGTTTTACATCCAGGGACCACCTAAACATCTTTGTGTCACTTTTCACATGAGAATTCCCATCTCTCACATATATTTCCAGAGTTCCTGCTCTCTCGTTGAAGAGATAGTTATTGAGCTCTCTGGAAGAGGGAGGGTTTTGTAATTTAGTAATTAATGACTTGTGCAATTAGTGTGTTAAATTGTAAAAATAGTAAATGTTTCATATATATTATTAGCAAATTGAAATTAAATTAAATTGAAAAGTTTAGGCCGGGCGCAGTTGTTCACGCCTGTAATCCTAGCACTCTGGGAGGCCAAGGTGGGCAGATTGCTCAAGGTCGGGAGTTCAAAACCAGCCTGAGCCATAGCAAGACCCTGTCTCTACTATAAATAGAAAGAAATTAATTGGCCAACTAAAAATATATAGAAAAAATTAGCCGGGCATGGTGGCACATGCCTGTAGTCCCAGCTACTCGGGAGGCTGAGGCAGTAGGATTGCTTGAGCCCAGGAGATTGAGATTGCCGTGAGGTAGGCTGATGCCACAGCACTCTAGCCCAGGCAACAGAGTGAGACTCTCTCTCAAAAAAATAAATAAATAAATTGAAAAGTTTAAAGATATAAACCTAGTAGTAACCATATAAACAAATTAGCATCCATCCATAATCCTTGATTTTTTTGACTGGTAGATAACTTCACCTTAAAATTCTTATTTAGAATATATATTTCTATTCCCCAGGTGTTAGACTAAGCAGGTAACAAGACAACAGGATTTGAAATGACCACAGACATTTTTGTGTGTGTGACTATGAGCTAAAGCCATTTAGTTTGTCTTATCTTGAATGACACTTAAGATTTTGAACAACGTTCATTTTGACAACATTCTTATCTGTTTGTTTTGAAGGACAGAACTTGCCAAGATTATGCGTACCAGAGCTAAGGAAATTGAGGTGAAATTGCTTCTTTTTGCTATTCAGAGAACAACTAACTTTGAGGGGTTCCTTGCAAAACGCTTCTCTGGCTGTACCCTGACAGATGGAACCCTGGTAAGATCTTCCTGAGGGAGGCTGGAACATGAAATTGATGGGTTGGGTCATTGGGCTTCACCCCAGTGTTTCACTGTGTGACAATTCTGTCCATTGGCTTAGGTGTGTAATCCCCTGTTGCAGTGATTTCTCTAAGTTAACATGAAAGTGATACAGAGTACTCTGTGTGGATTTGCTGTTTGTCTATTACACAGTATTTCATGTTTTGAGAATGTTCTATCATCATTTTATCTAAGCGTTGATCCCGTTTTACAGAATAGTCATTTTGTGAGTCACAGAGGCCTCACTTATTTGATCCTAAATACATTATTACTTTATCAGTTATCAAATTTTATTACAGTTTCAATGTGTTTTTCTTTAAGGTTTGCCTTTTAACATCTCTAGTGAGCAAACTAGGTCAGTGTGTCTCTGTAAATCTCAAAGCCAGGTAAGCAGGTCTGGGGACTGTGCGCCTCTACTGGACAGGTGAAATGTAGTAGTGCTGGTTAAAAACATTTCATCTCTGTGGAGTCAAAGACCAGGTTCGGCTGGGCACAGTGTCATGCACCTTGTAGTCCCAGCTACTTGAGAGGCTGAGGTGGGAGGATCACTTGAGCTCAGGAGTTTGAATCCAGCCTGGGCAGCATAGTGAGACCTCATCTCTTAAAAAAAAAAAAAAGACCAAGTGCAAAATGTCTTTCTAAAGCCTTTTTGGGGGCCCCAGGATCCCTGCTAACACATCATTGTGCTTTCTTCAGATTTCCTATCCACGGAGACTCCAAATTTCTATGTTTTATGGTAATTTCTGTTTATGTTGGTAGATACACACAGGCTTTGAGCTTCTTGAATGCAGGAATCACAGCTGACTCATCTCTGTCCCCTAGTCACGCAAAGAATACACAGAATTCATGCTAGCAGGAATGGAGAGGGAGAGAAGAAAGGAGAAAGGGAAGAAGAAATCAAAGTTGAGAGACTCATACCTCTTGAATTTTCTTTAAAACTAGATTTTTTTTTTAACTGCTGATAACAATAGAGAAGCAGTGTGATTTAGTAGCAAAATCCTTGGGCCAGCCATCGACAGAGACTTGTGGTCTGGTACTGACTCTGCTGTAACTTAGTGAATCGTCCTCTCTGTTAAATGAGAAGAATACAGTACCCTCTAATAACAGAGTACCAGGGGAATAAACAAGACATAAACCCCAGAAGCCATAAAGAAAAGTACTAAAAGGTTTGGCAACATAAAAAGAACAAAATTCTGTTTGGAAAAAGAAACCATGAACATAATCAAGGGATTAAAAAAATAGTTTAAGCCCTGTAAGACAAATAATATCTAGCACATAAAAAAAGAATTGTTAAAAATCAATTAGAAAGAGATAAGCCATTAGAGGATGAGTACAGGGTCAAATAGACAATACACTGAAGAATTTAGTTGGCTAATAAATATGGGGGGGGGGAAACAACATAGGATACTATGTTTCCTACATCAGATTGGCAAAAAAAAATTACAGGACTACCAATACAGGATTTTAGTGCTAGTATACAAATTGGTATAACCTTTATGGAGAATAAATTGTTATTATCTGTTAGAAATTTAAATGTGCATGTCCCGTGAGGCAATAATTTGACATCTAAGCAAGAAGTCTACAAAAAATCCACACACGTACAAAGGAAGAGGTGAACTACAGCCTTAAAAGCAAAAAATGGATAATGTTCATCATTGAAGAATTGGTTAAATAAATCGAGGTATATCCATACTATTGAATATTTTATAGCAATTTAAAAGTAGTGAAATGGAGGATATTTTAGATGTGCTAACGTGGGAAAAAACCTCACAGATACATTGTTAAGTGCAAAATGTGAGTTACAGCCCAGCACATATGGTTTGATTCTATTCATGTAAAAAGCAAAAGGCATGTTTATATATGTAAATGTGTAACTAAAAGGTCTGGAAATGATAACAGTGGATGTCTCTAGGGAAGGAAGTTGGAGTGGGAGTAGGTGGAGAAGCAAAGAAATGGTTTTTTTCCTTTTACTCTGGTATTCTTTTTGGAAATTATCTTAATACAAATGCATTTATATTCTTTTTGTATACTTTAACAAAGGTATTTTTCAGTTGTTTTAAAATGAGGGAGAAGCGGCAAATCAGTGATTTCCAAACTGTCTCTTCTAACAAAATCTAATGTGGAATCCAAACATAATAGCTAACTAACCTTTTTTGAGCATCCACTGGGTGTCCCACGCTGTGCTAGATGCATGTACCTGAGGCGATCACTTTGCTCCATCAACCTACCGTAGGAGGTAGGTACTATGCTTGTTGTGACCCAAGGCCACAGAGCTAATATGTAAAAACATGAAAACTTCACTGCTCCGACTGAAGCAGGGGATTTAGGGCAGGAGTCCCGCTGGACCTGGAGTCCCACTCACTTATTCACCCCTCACCTCTGCTATCTTCTCTGGCTCCCGTCTTTCCGATCCTTAAAATCCTGGGACTTCAGTGGAATCCTGTCTTTGCCCCACGAGACCTGCCTCAGAGTAGGTGAATTGGGCTGATCCCTCAGGGCACTGGGCTGCAGAGTGGTGGCGGCAGCAGCTCAGTTTTAAGGCAAGACCGCAAAGCCCTGCCTGCTCAGGCTCACTTATGACTTTATTCAAATAAAATTCAACTGGAACCATAAAACACTTTGCATACTTGGCAAACAGAAAAATACACTCCTCTCCTTGCTAACTTATGTTCAGAATTGATTTCTTTTTAGTAACAAGGGGAGAAAAAATAGGCCACAAAATGGATGAAAATGCCCTTAAAGAAAATGCAAGTCAGTAAAGGAAATAGTGAAGAGAAATGCCATTGAAGGAAGCATGTATCTCTCCTGAGAACTATGTGGTTGGCTTCAGCACCTCCTCATTTCCTCAGGCAGGCTCTCCTCTCTGCCCTCCCCAAACCATGCTTCTGGCCTGGTTTCCAGCAGAGACATGTACAACACTGGCCTCAGCCCTACAGAGATCTGCTTCGGGACAGAAAGGTTTAAGCTTTGAGTGCAGACCCCACCCTGGGAGTAGCCCCTGAATTCCCATAGCTTCTTGCTGGGCACTGTTGATAAAACATAAGGCCAGTCTCTCTGAGCCAATAATCTGGTTAACCAGATGAGAAATAGGTCTCAATGAAGGATGCTTGAATAGCATTAGTGCCAGACACCTGTTCTGAGCTATTTTTCACCTGCTTTGGCTGGACCCTACTTCTTGGTGACTTCTGTTTTATATTCAGGGAGCTACAGGATCACAGGAGAACAAATGGCCCTGTTAAATCTGATGATAGTGTAGCTGGTAAACTTAGGTCTGTTTAGAACACACTAGAATTCTCACCTGTCCAAGGAAATCCCCTAAAGGTCCAAAGCGCTAGGGTCATGAGGGCAGGGAAAGACCCTCTGGACAAGCTGAGGCTCTCAGCAGGGTAACCACGTAGAGACCATGAAAAACTGACAGGAGCTCTACTTAGGTTTGCAAAAATAATGCATTTTTGTAGAGAAAAGGTATAGGATTGTCAACGTGGCAGTGCCACCTTCTGTCCCAGGGAGGACAGGGCTGGATGTGCTTGTTTCTCAGGGCAAGACCCCTCTCTGCCTTAACTCAGCCAGAGCCGAGCTCATGGAATGGAGCTGTTTCACCTCCAGGCAGATGCTGTGCTCTGTGGTGGTGGTCAGTGGTCAGCTAGGGGCACACGAACCTTTTGCCCCAGTCCCTTCATTTTTGGTCTTACATGTTTGAAATTTTCTGGCAGAACTGGATTGTAAATCACCCTTCCAGCTGTTCAGTTGTTACTTTCCTCTTTTATCACATTTGCAGAGAGTTTCAGATAATAAATCCTTGGCCAGAAATTCCTGCTGAATGCCGTGAGCTCTTGATTTACCCCTCTAGTTAGTCAACTGTTTTCTCTGCAGGTTTCTCCAAATCATTCAATTTCTTTAATTCACCCTCTTCCTGGGACCGTTGTTTGTCTCAGTTACCATGAGCCAGCGACCATTCTACATTCCAAGTCCTGACAATGGCTGTCCAACAGCCTTTAAGGATTTTTTATTTTATTAAAAAAAAAAACACCTCCCAATTGGTGAGGCTGTTACAAAACCTAACCCCATCTACACTGCTACCAGTAGAAGGCTGAATATGAATCTAATCATCAAGTCACTAATAATGCATATAGATATAGTCAAATCACATCCAGACATTTGCCTTAAAGTTGAATTTCTAGAAAGGGAGCAGAACCGCTGTGGCCACTTCAACTAGGCAGGCCAGGTCTTGAAGAATTCACGGCAGCTCTGCTGTGGGGATTTGTGAAGGTTCTCACTGTAGGTGATGTTCACACTGAGCCTGGTCCCTGCCATCACCTCACTCTGGGCCAACTGGGGCCTTCTTCACCTTTCTTCTTCAACCCTCAGTGTCAGGGACCCAGTTATCCCAGCATAAAGTACTGGGAAGAGGCTGGGCTGGGCCAGGCCAGGGGTTCCAGCTGACCTGACCCACCTGAAGGCTTGTTCTTCCCCAGCCCTTGCTACCTCCCATGCTGCCTTGCTTCCAGGATATGCTTTTTTGGAAATCTTTTTTGGCTACCATTTTGTTTCATGGTATCAGAATAAACTATGAAATGAATGAACCAAGGTATATCTTGAGACCCTTTAATGTATTCCATATTTCATAGAAAGTTAGTGAATTCCTTGGAAAGGTACCATAGAGTGAGGCAGAAGTCAGCCAAGGAGCCAAGCTGACCAGAGACCCTCCCTTGCTGCCCCTCCCCAGGCCACACCCCTCACCTCTGCCCCTGCCCACCCCTTCCCTGCATCATTCAGAACCTTTCAAGTCTTTGAGCTGTTACACAGTGAAACAATGAGGGTAAGCTTGAGAGTGCGACTAGCTCACCAGAAAGACCTGCCCCAGCTCAGCTTCTCCTGTCTGATCAATGGATGCATCATCTCTTGTTCTTTTTCAAGAGATGCAACTTTGATATCTGAGGGAACATTCTACTCAAAGAG